CCAGGGAAGCCCAAGTGAAGGTCAGGCTGTCCCAAGTCGACCCACAACCCCCTGTCCTAAGAGTAGGAGTCAGGACACTGAGGGTGGACTGACCATAGATGAGCAGAGTGAGTGAAGAACGCTGGAACAGGGCTGCTTGAAGCTGTACTTCACCCCTCCTCCAGGCATGCCCCTTCCTCCTACCTTTCCCTGACTCACTGCTTAACTTCCTCTTTGGGCCAGAGCTTCTAAACCTCTCCCCCATTACTGTCTCAAGAGCGTCAGACACAGGAAAATCGCGCTTGAACCATTTCCCACGTTGAAAACGCCGAGGACAGGAGTCGCCCATGGTCATGCAGTGAGTCTGGGGCCTGGGAACCCCGGTTCAGGACACTCACATTCTGGACTCTCCTCCCAAGATCCAATAGTCTCTATGCTGGGTGTGATATTTTGTTCACACATCACCCCCTTCTCTCAATGGATTATCCCCGCACCCACTCAGTGAGCCAGTCCATGGACTCCCCACTCCTCGTGGCGGTGGGCCAGGGCCCTCTGTCCTGCTTCTCGTAGGAAGTCTAAGGTACCATCAGGGCCACTCCCCAGCCCCACCCGCTCACCCTTGCTTTGCCTTTTAGCCATCACGTGGTGGTGGCTATGGCTCTTGGACCCCCCTTGGGCCCTTTTCCAGGCTGGGTCCCCAGTGACCAAGGCAGCTCCGTTCCCCTGACTTACTTCCTGAGATCATACCCCATGTGGCCATGGGCCTGGAAGGGCTGGGACTCCCCAGGACGCATGCCCTGCCCACTGGGCACTCCAGAGAACTGAAAGGCTGCCTCTGCCCGGTGTCTGGCCTGGCCTGCGTGGAAACCCGCCCGGTTGGCGAGGCGCCTGCCCCAGTGGTGCTCAGAGTTCTGGGCCCGGGGGATGAGCACTCGCCCTCGCCCACAGCCTTTCTTAGTTTCTGTTTGATTCCCCCGTGTCCCTGCGGGGAGGTGGCCTGGAGCCGAGCAAGGAATCCGAGGCTGGCTGGGGATCCTGGTGCCGCCAGCCACCCCTACTGCCCAGCCCCCTACAGGCTCCCTCTCTTCTCCAGGCCTCAGCTTCCTCCTCCATCAAAGGGGGCTCTGGCTCTGTGTCTGGACTGCTGGGGGGTCACCTGAGCTCACCTGACGTTCTGGCAGGTCTTAGTTCTTCTTGACTGAATGAAAGACCATCCCTGGGAGCCCCTCCCCCTCTCCCTTCCTCCAAGCTGAACTCACCTGTGTACCGGTATTGTCTGGGATTCTGTCTGCTGGTTTTCTTCCTGGGTGTTGGTGTGACACCACCCATATGGCAGAAAGGGAAGAAGTACTGAAGAGCCTCTTGATGAAAGTGAAAAAAGAGAGTAAAAAAGTTGGCTTAAAACTCAACATTCAGAAAACTAAGATCATGGCATCCTGTCCTATCACTTCATGGCAAATAGATGTGGAAACAAGGGAAACAGTGACAGACTTTATTTTGGGGGGCTTCAAAATCACTGCAGATGGTGACTGCAGCCATGAAATTAAAAGACGCTTGCTCCTTGGAAGGAAAGTTATGACCAACCTAGACAGCATATTAAAAAGCAGAGACATTACTTTGCCAACAAAGGTCCATCTAGTCAAAGCTATGGTTTTTCCAGTAGTCATGTATGGATGTGAGAGTTGGACTATAAAGAAAGCTGAGTGCCGAAGAATTGATGCTTTTGAACTGTGGTGTTGGAGAAGACTCTTGAGAGTCCCTTGGACTGCAAGGAGATCCAACCAGTCCATCCTAAAGGAGATCAGTCCTGAATATTCGTTGGAAGGATGGATGCTGAAGCTGAAACTCCAATACTTTGGCCACCTGATGTGAAGAACTGACTCATTGGAAAAGACCCCGGGAAAGATTGAAGGCAGGAGGAGAAGGGGATGACAGAGGATGAGATGGTTGGATGGCATCACTGACTTGATGGACATGAGTTTGAGCAAGCTTCGGGAGTTGGTGATGGACAGGGAAGCCTGGCGTGCTGCAGTCCATGGGGTCGCAAAGAGTCAGACACGATTGAGTGACTGAACTGAACTGTTGCTGGCCCACTGAATCCTGGCATCACTTCATAACCAGGTTGCCCCTTGAAGGCCAGCTTCATTCTGGGGGCTACTGTTCACCCCTCCTGGCTGGCAAATCAGTCTCTAAAGTAAACCCCACATCCGAATCTGCACCAAACTCTATTACCCATTCAAGAAATGTCTTCGTTCTGAAGTGGGTTTCTGCATGGTGGTAGGTTTGGGGTGTGTGTGTGTGTGTGTATAATTTAATTAATTTATTTATTATTATGCTGGGTCTTCTTTGCTATATGGGCTATACCCTAGTTGCAGCGAGCTGTGGTTACTCTCAAGTTGCAGTGTGAGGTTTCTCATCATAGCAGCTTCTCATTGCAGAGCACGGGCCTTAGGGCTCATGGACTTCAGTAGTTGTGGTTCCCGGGCTCTAGAGCACAGGCTCAGTTGCTCCTCAACAGATGGGATCTTCCCAGACCAGGGATCAAACCCGTGTCTCCTGCATTGGCAGGTGGATTCTTAACCACTGGACCAGCAGAGAAGCCCTGGTTTGGTTTTGCTAGAAATCTTCATGGTAAAAACCCCGGCTGGCCTTTGGCTCCCTGGACTGGAGCTGTGTGCTGAGCCCGCAGGGTCTGACTCTCACCATCTTTCTTAGGTCATAGGTTTAGTCTGGGCTGGTGGTTCAGTTTTGGGTGGGGATCTAGGCTGGGCCAGAGGTGGTTGATCTGGCTTCTTGTGGGGCTACAAGAGGCTCTATAGGACCAGGTTCTGACTGGGCTCCAGATCCCTGTCTCAGTTCTGGGTCCTGTTGAGTTCTAGATTCTTTGCCTGGCCCAGGTCTGTGCTGCGAGGCAACTTCCTGTTTACTGAAGGGCACCCTTTGCATGGGAGGTGACATCTGCAGGGCAGAGGCCGGTGGGGCATGAAATTCTTGGTGCAGAGCAGACTTTTGTTATGCTCGAGGTTCCTGCTGGGCTTCAGCTTGGTGATGGGCAAGGGGCTCCTGCTGAGTGAGGGTCTTTGCTGTGCAGTGGGCTATTGGATCCTTGTCTATTGGGTCCCTGCTGATCCTTGGATACTGTCTGGTCTGGAGGTTTTTTCTGGTGCAGGCTCCAACTGGGTTATAGTTGCCTGGTGTGGCTTTGATTCTCTAACAGGCTTAAATACCAACTTAGAACCTGGCTCTGCTGTGCTTTTTTTTTTTTGTCAAGGGAGATATATATATATTTAATAATTTTATTTATTTTTGGCTGTGCATTTATTTTTGGCTGAGTCTTTGCTGCTTGCTGCACGGGCTTTTCTCTAGTTGTGGTGAGCAGGGGCCACTCTCTAGTTGTGGTGGCTTCTCTTGTGGAGCACAGGCTTGGTAGTGAAGGTGCACGGGTTTAGCTGCTTCACGCCATGTGGGATCTTCCTGGACCAGGGATCGAACCTGTGTCTCCTGCATTGGCAAGCGGATTCTTGATCCCTGAGCCACCAGGGAAGCCCTCGTGGGAGATATTGATCTCCCTGGCTTCATCCCTCTGGGTCCCCACAGACCTCCTTTGTCACAGATCCCTCGTGGGTTACTCATGATGGCTCCCCCACCATCTTGGGTTCCACTCCTTCAACCTGGCATCCTTGGTCTTCCTTTTGGAGGCAGTCGGCAAGTGGGCTGAGCACCGCTGGCTCCCCACTCCTGTGCCGAGCGAAGCACTTGTGACTCTTACTGTAGGAGGAGGGGTGGGGACAGAAGGAAGCTGGGTGTCCATCACCCTCCCCCCAGAGGGTTATGTCTTAAAGGGGCCCCATCCCACTCCCCACTCAGATAAAACATTTCTTCTCATGAGGGCAGCATCCCAGCTGAGTCCTCTGTTTCATCCGGATGACAGAAGCTAGACTCTGGAGGAATGTTCCTTTTCTTTCTCGATTTAAAAAAAAATTTACTTGGCTGCATTGGGCCTTAGTTGTAGCACATGGGATCTTCCTGTTGACATCTTCCCGTCGGCAGGATCTCTAGTTTTGGCATGCATACTCTCAGTTGCAGCATGTGGGATCTAGTTCCCTGACCAGGTACCGAACTCGGGGCCCCCTGCATCAGGAATGCGGCGTCTTGACCACTGGACCTCTAGGGAAGTCTCGAGTGTTCCTTTTCTTACTTCTCCTTCTGATGTTTGATGAAAGGGTCAGAGAGGGAAGCGGGATCTACCCCACTGTAACTTTCCGCTCTTTATTTATTCTAATGGTTCCCACTTTTATTTCCTTATATTATTGTTTTGATCATTTTATTCCCATGTTAAAAAAGAAAAAAAAGACATCGTCCCATTTCTACAGCTGGAAAGCCCTTTTCAGTGGCATTTGAGATCTTCCACACTGTCTAGGTGGCTCAGTGGTAAAGAATTCGCCTGCAATGCAGGAGACACAGGAGATGCTAGTTCGATTCCCTGAGTCGGGAAGATCCCCTGGAGGGGGGCATGGCAATCCACTCCTGTATTCTTGCCTGGAGAATCCCATGGACAGCAGAGCCCAGCAGGTTATAGTCCGTAAGGCCGCAAAGAATCCGTCATGACTGGTGACTGAACACTCTAGCCTTGAGCTCTGCCCTCGCACATATGTCTTCTGTAGTTGCCTGGAAACTTAGAGAGTCCAGTGACCATTGATGATGAAGATGGTGGTGATAATCATAAATGCTGAGTAGGCATTTTATGTGCTAGAAAATGGAGCCAGGTTCTTTTTAAACTTATATTATCATTAGTAAGACAATGTCTGATTCATTGCTTTCACTGCTTTCTTTGCCCTACCTAGCTCTTACCTCAGGAAGGTTTGTTGGATGAGTAAAAGAGTAAAAATTTAGGCAGCAGAGAGAGACTGAAGGTGGTGTTGGATAGAGGTGTGTATATAATCTGGAAATGGTTTGGAATGAACAGGGTTAAGTGGATCGTCTGGATTGAACGTGCGTTTCGAGACCCCATTTGAAAATGATTTTGATCTATTACATTTAAGTATATTTATTGATTTTGTTTGCTATTTTCCTGCTTGTGTTTATAGTCGGGGAGGACCAGCTCTAGGTACTCAGAGATTCTTGGTTTCTTTCAGGTAAGTAAGCTTAACGCTGTGTCAGGGGCAGTCCCAGGAAAAGAGTGAAAGTGAAGAAGGCACTAGAGGGGGCAATAATCTCAGGGAAAATGCTTTTGGGATGATTTAGGGAGTGGGGACAGGAGCGGGGGTGGGGGGGGTGGGGACGTGAGGTGGGAGAAGAGTGTCTCCTAGGTGCACTCACGGCTTTGTTGACTGAGAATGTTTCATCGGGAGGGTGGGGTCTCAGAGCACCTATAAGGGCAGAGCAATGGTTTCTAGCACACATCGTGTGAGAAATTGCTGGCAGGCTTTGGAGAGCGTGTTTGACTTCCTGTGGTGCCTTCGGTGTCCTAGGGTGAAGAGAAAAGGGAGACACTGCAGTTAAAAACATTTTTAGAATTTATTTTTTTTTTAATGAGAGCTTTTAAAATGTTACAAGTGAGACTCATCCCATGGGGGAAAAATTTAAATGAAAAAATATCTACAGTAAGGAGATAAAAGATGCCCCAACCCTGCTTCCACTCCTGATTCTGGTGAGTACTATTGTTACTAGTTTGCTGTATGGTTTTTCCAAACCTTTTGTATATAAACGTAATTGTTGTTGCTTAGTCGCTCAGTGGCATCTCTTTGCCAACCCATGGACTGTAGCCTGCCAGGATCCTCTGTGGGATTTCCCAGGCAAGAATGCTGGAGTGAGTTGCCATTTCTTTCTCCAGGGATCATCCCATTCTTGATCATGTCATATCATAATAACACCACAATATCCATCAGTTTAACACTTAACAGTATACTTTTTATATGACATTTCATTATACCTAGACCAGGGAGGAATCTCATTGTTTCACCCCGACACTGGTGTCATAGTCAGAGATCAGTGACCAGGTTGCCAATAGCCCCTCTCCCTCCATTCTGATAAACACTGGCATTCAATCGTCAGAGGTTTTGGTGAGCCATCCTCTAGTATTAGGGGAATTGTGTTTTACTTTTCCTGCTCTTCCTGTTTCCCCACTCGTTGACCTTGAATAGGATGACCTTGGGTAGGATGAGCTAATCCTGATCTTCATTTCTTCTCTCTTGTCTCTTAACCCCTGCTTCATCCCTAGCTGGGGCTTCCCTGGTGGCTCAGATGGTAAAGAATCCACCTGCAGTGCAGGAGACCCAGGCTCGATCCCTGGGTCAGGAAGATCCCCTGGAGAAGGAAATGACAACCCACTCCAGGATTCTTGCCTGGAAAACCCCAAGGACAGAGGAGCCTGGGGGGCTATAGTCCGTGGGGCTGCAAAGAGTCAGACATGACTGAATCACTGACACTTGCACTCTCATCGCTAGTCGGTTCCACAGAGCGACTCTGTTTTAAGGAGGGTCATTCTTTGACAACTTACTGGTTTTCTTCATCCTGCCCTTGAAATGATCACAGGGACATGGCTTCTTTGTCAGCCTGGGCGCTGTCATGAGTGTTCTTCTAGGGGCTCTCAGGAACCAATCTGAAATAAGGGGGTTGCTGCTTAGGAAGGTTCATATGTTTGAGGGCCAGGACTTGACTTGCCATCTCCTTACCTCTCAGTTGTTTTCCATATTTCAGTGGGAAAGGGTCAACACAGAACAGTTATATGAGCACCAGGGTCTCTAAATTGTTTTGCTGACCTGTATGGACAAGAATGGGCTTTCCCGATAGCTCAGTTGGTAGAGAATCCACCTGCAATGCAGGAGACCCTAGTTCAATTCCTGGGTCGGGAAGATCCGCTGGAGAAGGGATAGGCTACCCACTCAAGTATTTGGGGGCTTCCCTTGTGGTTCAGCTGGTAAAGAATCTGCCTGCAAAGCAGGAGACCTGGGTTTGATCCCTGAGCTGGGGAGATCCCCTGGAGAAGGGAAAGGCTACCCATTCCAGTATTCTGGCCTGGGGAATTCTCTGGACTGTACAGTCCGTGGAGTCGCAAAGAGCCAGACACGACTGAGCGTGTTTCACTTTCATGGGCAAGAATTTGGTGGCAGGTTTGGAGGAAGCATCAGAGTGTCATTAGGAAGACCAAAAAAATGAGCAATGAGTGGGAGGGAGGTCCGAGAGGGAGGGGACATAAGTATGCATATGACTGATGCACATTGTTGTATGGCAGAAGCCAACACAGTAGTGTAAATTTATGGTCCTCTAATTAAACATAAATTTTAAAAAATGAGGAATAAGAGGTGTCTGCCTTTCAGTGGCTGCTTTACTTCGACTAAGCCATTTTGCCCCTCTGATTTCAGTCTTGCCCGTGAGTAAAATAAGGCTGAGAATGGGGTCCAGGAAGGTCTTGGAAGGCAGCCCTGGGTTGTTGGGGAAAAGGGTAAGGGAGAGGGGGCCAGCCAGACCTTCAGCCTGGACCCTGGACCCTGGAGGAGTCTGGCTCTTACATGAGACTCAGGAAGAAATGGTGGTGGGCTCGGGAGAGGGCAGGGGGTGAGGGCAGCTCAGGTAATATCTGCTCTGCTCTCAGAGGGATTCAGGGGAGCAAATGGGGATCTCGACGGTGCACTGTTGTTGTCGATATGGTGTTACTGACCTTGGCACTCACATTCTTGGCCTCCTTCTCGAAGCCACCTCCCAGAAGCCTGGCGTTGGTCCCTCTGGCCTCTGGCGACCGCTGTGGGAAGGAAACTGGTCACTTCCAGGAACTGGAAAGGAAGGCCCCAAGGCCCTTTTCCCTGTGCCTCTGGGTCAGCGCAGCTCCGTTGCGCTTCCTATTTACTGAGGGAGCTAGGGTACTTCAAGAGAGGGGTATTGTCAATGGATAAGGAATCGAAGCATAAAATCTGGCCTAGAGAAAAGCTTAGCTGTAGGTAGGCAGAGAAAGAATAGCTTCTGGATAGAAGAGAGGACAAAAGGTAGGGGTGTTGATCAAGACCTGACAACTTCCCCCATTAAAGTCCCTACCCTACACACGTTATTCTCCTGACTTAAGAAATAAGAGCAAAGAGTAGATTATTCCATAAACCAGTTAGGAACTTCACCTGACCTCTGTGTTTGGTTGTATTTGAATCCATAGTCCCCATTCAACTGTTAATATAAGAGGATGGTATTTACCTTTGTCCCTCTGGAACAAATCCATTTCTCCTTTTGTCTCTATTCAAGTCTGTCTTATCACCTGATGCTCTCTTATGCCCGTTTTGTGTTTCTTGATATCATTACCAAGCTGTTGTTATAGCATTGCACTAATTAAGTGCATCACCATCTCTTTTATTTTGAGGTGAGAAAACCGAGGCCCAGAGAGAGTCAATGCAATGCTCAAGTTCATAGAGTTAATGGTGACTCATCTGGGGCTAAAACCTAGGTCCAAGGCTCTTAGCCTTTTAGTCTCTCTTCGAACCTACATGACCTAATGTCATGAGAGCTATTTATCATAAGTAATTTTCTAATTAATAGGTAATCTTATAAGGAATTTGTTATTGTAAGTAATTTATTTCTTAACATTGTCATTGCTTCTCAGTTTCATATTTTTTCCCCATTTCCCCATGAAAAGCATATTAAGCAGGTATGTTGTTGTTTTAAGAGATAAAGCAAGATCAGATTTTATTTGGCGATTTCTGGGCAGGAGGATTGTGTAGTGTTATTTCTGCTCACCAGACTTGGTCCAACATTGCAACTACCCTTGCCTGGGAAACGGGAATTGAGCCTGTAATTGCATTCCCTGGGGGCCTCAGTGAGCTTTCCCCGTCTTATTGCCCTTATGCCTTTGAAGCTACTTGAGAATGAAATTTTACTCACTCGATTTATTGAATACTTACTAGGTTCACATTATCCATCATTTACTCTTTACAACAGTTGTAGATGCTAAATGGTATGAATTCAAGTCTGAGTCTAAAGGTCCGGGTGAGTCTAAATGTGTCACCATATTTGAGAATTATTGGTAAAGCAGCGGCTCCCCTGGGGAGTGGGTTACCCTCCAGGGGATGTTTGGCCATGTCTGGAGATATTTTTGGCTGTATTAACACGGTGGGGGTGGGGAAAGTCTGCTGTTGGCTTCTAGAGGGTAGAGGCCACTCAGATGTTGATAAACAGGTTAGAAAGAACAGAACAGTGCACCCTGCCCCCCTTACAAGAGGACTTAATCTCTAATGTCAACAGAGCTGCTATGAAACCCAGGTGTCCAGTCTCTTAAGGGGAACATTTTGAACTTAGAAACCTGAGGATTTATTCTTCCACTTAGATGTATTTACCTAGCACCTTGCCGGGTCATGGGAGGGACATGGAAACAAGATACCAGGTTGTGCCAGGGGTGAGGTTACCGCTCAGAAGGGCAGGGGTTGGGGTAGGAGACGCACCGACACTCAACTCAAGGTGGAACGTGGACCGTGCAGAGAGAGTCCAGTTGGGGCCAAGTTTGTGCAGGGAGAGGAGGACTCATGTCTGCCTCTGGAACACATCAGGGCGGCTGTGGGAGCAGAACTGAGCTGGTGGGAGGACGCAAGAGCAGTTGGGGAGCAGACGAGGTTCCGAGATCCCAGCTGAGAGGAACTCGGGCCCGTGTTAGTGCGGGGGTGCAGGGGGGATGGTCGGGAAAGGCGGTCATGACTGGAGCTTGGAGTCCAGGCTGAGGTCTCCAGCCTGGGGTCCCGTCACAGCAGTGGAAAAGACTTCCCTCCCAGAATGCTGGTCTAGGGCCAACCCCACCGGGCCATGGGGCCCAGCGGCTTCCAGAGAACTCTGTAAGGGAGAAGATTCTGGAAATGGGTGCAGAAGGATAGACTGCTGATTTTAGGACCCACTTGATGCTGCTGCTAAGTCACGTCAGTCATGTCTGACTCTGTACGACCCCATAGGCGGCAGCCCACCAGGTTCCCATCCCTGGAAGTCTCCAGGCAAGAATACTGGAGTGGGTTGCCATTGCCTTCTCCCACTCGATGCTGAGTGTGTAACAAAGCTATTTCACCTGAAAGTAGCGCTTGGGGAGATGGTCACTTAGGATGGGAACATAGGTGGGGAGGGGGTACCTTCTGCACAGTTGTTCTGCTAAGGGCTGGGCCACTCCGGCTCTAGGGAACAGTGGAGCAGATTCGGAACTCCTAACCCAGGATCTGCTTCCTAAAGGTGAGCTGTTCAAACAGGGCCGGTGTGCAGTCTTGCCCCCACCAGGCCACAGGCGCGAGGCCTTGTACCCAGAACACAGAAGCAGAGCCGAGAACCAAGGTCACCCCCAAAGCTGACTGAGCCCCTTTGTAACTGTTGCCTGGAGAACCCCATGGACAGAGGAACCTGGTGGGCTACAGTCCATAGGTCACAAAGAGTCGGACGTGGCCGAAGTGACGTGACACACACATGTAACCGCTGCCAAAAGCCCACGATCATCACTAACAGGCTTCCTGACTCCAAATTAGTCAAAGATGCCCACTCCAGTAAACACCCTATAAAGCCCCAATCAGTCCCCTAACGCCAGCCTTCCAGCAGGAACTGTCTTTGTCTTGAGGCTATAAAAATTGGCTATTAACCCACTAACACCGTCGACTCTCCCTGGCCTGTCAGGAGTTGTCGGCCCGCTGTGCTTGCAGGGCCCACGTTATCTCTGCTCTTTGTTCTTAATAAACTCACTCCCTTCTGTAATGCTCTGTGTCTGGAAATTCTTTTCCAACCAGCGCTCGGATTGTCTCAATAGCTCAGTGTGGTCACAGCTTCAAACACAGGTATTTACCTGGTGGTGTGATTTTTCTGGTTTATCACCTTACCATGAAAAAGCATTAAGAATTATTGGGGCATGTCTGGTGTACTAGGAAGAATATAATCGAGGATGACTGACTGACTGGGTGCACACTTGCTTTCAACACCCTCCTTGCACGGCCTCCAGGCTCAGTCCCCAGGACACTCAATACCCCCGGAGAGGGGCTGGGGGAGAGGTAAGGTCCTCTCCTGCCAGCTACCCTTGCAGACACTCCATACACACAGGCTCCTTCAACTTCACGACACTCAGGATTTACGTTCAGTTCATTCCTTTTTGTAAATGAAGAAACAGGCACCCAGACAGGCTAACTCACCACTAATCCCCGTAGCTTGCAGGGGCTACATTTTACCGCATGTGTGGTCATGCTCTTTCCTGTGTCGCCATGTTTCTGCCCCCTTTTTATCTTTCGTAGAAAGTGGGCTTTTTTTTTTACCTGTGTGTGAGCTGCTGGAGACTGCGGACATCAGCATTAGTGGCAGCAACAGGAGGAGGGAGGAGATGAGAACCTTCATTTCACCTGTCGATGCTGCTGCGGGGCGACTCTTCAGCAGCTCCCAGTGAGAGGGTCCCCACTTCTCCCGGCGGCTCAGGCCGTGCGTGGAACGTGGCTGGGATGGGGGGCGGGGTCTGCACTTTACTCCCCGGCCAGCGTTCTCATTAGAGGGCGGGAAGAGCTGAGTGGCGCTGGCCTTGTTAGGTAACAGGTCGGACCATGTGTTTTATGGGAATCTGGGAGGCAAAACTGGCCAAACAAATGAAGCCTTTGTAGGAACACGAGAGGGTGACCGGTAACCTGGCAGTCATGCTCATCCCCTCCCTTCTTCCTCCCGCCTCCCCACCCCACAATGTGTTATGATTTCTTCTTGTGGCTTTTGTGAATTTCCTTATACGTTTGAGTGACGTTTTCTAGCTTAGTGTCTGGCAGGAAAAGTGAGGGCTAAGGGTTGGCAAAGAGGATGGCACAGCCTGTCTCCCCTCTGCCTTCCCCACTCCCAGCCTCGGCACAGTATCAGACGTCGTGGTGTCCCCACTGTGGACAGTGTCCTCCAAGTCTGTGGCCACATAAGGAGGGAAGCAGAGCGGATGGAGGAGAGGCTCTTCTCCCTTGCCCAAACACCGCCCTGGGGCACTGGGTCAAAGCAGGCCTCCTTGTTGTCGGTCAGGCAGCTGGCTGTGGCCTTGTCGTTGTTGTTCAGTTGCTAAGTTGTGTCCGACTCTCTGCAATCCCATGGACTGCAGCACGCCAGGCTTCCGTGTCCATCACTAACTCCTGGAGCTTGCTCACACTCATGTCCATCGAGTCGATGATGCCATCCACCCAGCCTCTCATCCTCTATCGTGCCCTTCTCCTCCTGCCTTCAATCTTTCCCAACACAGGGTCTTTTCCAATGAGTCGGCTCTTTGCATCAGGTGGCCAAAGTATTGGAACTTTGTGGTATATGGCCTCATGGCTCCTGCCTAGAGGAGAGGGACGTGGGTTGGTGGAAGACCCTCAAGGCTTCAGGTCCAAGAGGATTTGAGAAGCAAAAGCCACAGTAGGGACAGTGTCTGCCCAGGTTGCTGGGACTCCTGGTGCGAGATCTTGTTTGAAATCAGTCCAAGATGAAAGAGAGAAGTGATACTTCTTGGAGCAAACATCAACGGTCCAGAAGGGCAGCGCTTACTGATGTGACTCATTCCAAAGACTTCAGGAACTGGGCTCAAAAATAGAAGAGAAGCTGGTCTTAAGGGCTGAGAGCTGTTTGTGGGGCTAAAAGAAAGAAAATAAGTGCTTAGTTATGTCCGACTCTTTGCGACACTTTGGACTATAGCCCACCAGGCTCCTCTGTCGACGGGGTTTTCCAGGCAAGAGTACCGGAGCAGATTGCCATTTCCTCCTCCAGGGGATCTTCCTGACCCAGGGACTGAATCCGAGTCTCCTGTGTCTCCTGCATTGCAGGCAGATTCTTTACCTGCTGAGCCGTTGCGGAAGCCCTTGTGGGGCTGAGGGGAAGGTTAACAAGGAAGTCCTCCCTGTTCCTCCAGGCAGGACTGAGAAAAGGTGGTGTGACTTTGTTCTAGTCCAGAGGAGGGAAGAGGCCAGGCATAGCTTTTGTCTGCTCATCCCTACCCTGTCATTTTCAGATGATTTTCACCTGTGGACCTGTTGGAGACTTGATTGTAGACTTTACTACAAAGTTTATAAGCATCAGCAGGTGCCTGGCACTTCCCTGGACAGTGGAGACTCTCCTTGAGTCGAAGGCGCCGTCTGAGCTTGGTCTAATGTGTAAAGCACTAATGTGGCTCCTTCCTGGAAAATTATTATTAAAAAAAATTTTTTTTTATTCATTTACTTATGGTTGCCCTGAGTTGTTGCTTTGCACAGGCTTTCTCTAGTTGCAGTGAGAGGGGGCTACTCTTCATTGTGGTGCTTCTCACTGTGGTGGCTTCTCTTGTTGTGGATCATGGGCTCAAGGCACACCGGCTCATTAGCTGTGGCACCCTGGCTTAATTGCTCTGTGGCATGTGGGATCTTCCTGGACTGGGGCTCGATCCCATGTCCCTTGTTTTGGCAGGTGGATTCTTATCCACTGAGCCACTACTCCCTGGAAATTTCTAACCATGGTCTCTGTCCTCAGGACCCTCAAGTCTAACCAGGGAGATGACACACACTTCATAAAACCTGGGGATATTGTGCAATCAAATTTCAGAAGTGGCAGCAGTTCACAGTGGACGGTGAGTGGCTCTAAAACCTTGGGGTTCAGTGGAACTTGGGCTGGGTCTGGAGGGTGGGGTAGGGTTTCTGTTGATAGAAGGCAGGGAGGAGGGCAGGGCTGAGAAGGAGCACAGAGCTGACTGGTGGGGATTTTTGAGGCAGGGCTGTTAATTGTTCACTTGTAAGTTCCTAAACTTACGTAGGGCCTGGCATTTTGTGGGTGCTCTGCAAATATTTGTTGAACTGACTGATATTTTTGTAAGCCTTTATCTAGACCTGCTATGTTAGAAAGCATGTGAAAGCGCAGTCCATTATCGGGAAAACATTTTTCTGATAGAAGCTCACGCACACACATGGAGCCTGAGGTGGTGTTTTACTTCCTCATCGAGTCCTCCTCCAGTCTGCCCCAAGGCTGCTAATCAGGGGGCTCCTCCCGCAGCTTCCTCCAGGTCCCCTCAATCTGTTCACCCCCATCGTCTCCCCAAGTCCTGGCTCCCTAGCGGTTCACTCCATCTGATTTTCCCCTCTATGGACTTGCAAAGGGGTGTCGGGTCCTATTTCCTGTGGTAGAGGACTTTGGGTCTCTCAGCTGCATTGATGTAAGACACTCACTCCCAAGACAGACTTTTCTCTTGTTAATATAGACAATCACTTAGGACTTCCCAGGTGGCGCTAGTGGTAAAGAATCCACCTGCCAATGCAGGAAACGCAAGAGACAGGTTCGCTCTTTGGGTCAGGAAGATCCCCTGGAGTAGGCAATGCCAACCCGCTCCAGTATTCTTGCCTGAAAAATCCCACAGTCAGAGGAGCCTGGTGGGCTACAGTCCATCGGGTCATAAAGAGTCAGACACGACTGAGCACACACGCTGAGAGCTCACCCTGAGAACTTCAATTATGTCAAGTACAGTCTTTGTGTCTTACAAAGGTCTCCTTCCAGGAAGGAGGTGAGGGGAAAGTGGGAGAAATAACCGTTTTCTACTGTTATTTGGTTTCCCCCTCTTCAGTATACTTAATGTGAGTATGTGTGTGTGTGTGCTTAGCCGTGTCCGACTCTTTGCAACCCCATAGACTGTAGCCCACCAGGCTCCTCTGTCCATGTACAGTGTACTTAGACATTTAAAAATGCTTGTTAATCATATCATATCCATGCTTCCTGTTGCTCTAAGAGTCATTTATTCATACACACAGTCAAGTGACACAAGAGACATAGGAGGAGGCAACCCTCTCCAGTATTCTTGCCTGGAGAATCCTATGCACAGAGGAGCCTGGTGGGCTATGGTCCATAGGGTTGCAAAGAGTTGGACAGGACTGAAGCGACTCAGAGAGCATCGGAGTTCCTAATGTATTTGGGTGGTGGCTTCCGAGAAGAAGAAGGTGTGGCGTTTCTCTGAAGGGCTCTCACCCAACACGTAGACCTGTGGAGGGTTAGTCCAACTGCTCCGTGATTTGTTCAAGGTCACGGTTAGTTTGCCTCCAAGCCAGAGAAGAATTCCAGTTTCCTGACCTGCTGGAATGCCTTAATGGGCAGCTGCCTGGCTGCTATGTGCGCCAGTGGGGGGCGGGGCACCAATACCCTGGATTATCCAGAGGTAAATGTCTGGTTGAACCATGACTGCAAAAATCTGGGACGCTTGCATTCTCTCTTTTTCACTTTGAACTTGAAATGAGGAAAATGAGAGCCTAGAAAACCCATAGTGGATGATTTTCACAGGGGGCTGACAAGATGCGCCGATGAGGCGAAGGTAACACCGGTGTTACCTCTTATCAACATGTTTCTCACGTGACTGCAGTGCTCTGATGCTGGGTTGGATTCTCTCCCTCAGTAAGATCAGGGACCAGGTCTGATTCATCCTTGTGTCTCTAGCGCATCGCAGGCTCTAATAGATATTTCTTTTTTAAAAAAAAATTTACTTATTTTAATTGGAGGATAATTGCTTAACAATATTGTGATGGTTTTTGCCATACATCAGTGTGACTCAGCCATAGGTACACATATGTCCCCCCCCATTCTGAACCCTCCTCCCACCTCCCTCCCCATCCCTCCAGGTTGTCACAGAGCATGAGCTTTGGGTGCCCTGCTCCATACATCAAACTCGGGCTGGTTATCTATTTTACATATGGTAATGTGTATGTTTCAAAGCTGTTCTCGCAAATCATCCCACCCTCTCCTTCTCCCACTGAGTCCAAAAGTCTGTGTCTCCTTTGCTGCCCTGCATGTAGGATTGTTGGTACTGTCTTTCTAGATTCCATGTATATGTGTTAATACACGATATTTGTCTTCCTCTTTCTGACTTATTTCACTAAATACTTCTTAAAAATAAAACAGCAGAGTTTCCCTGGAGGCTCAGTGGGAATGATAACCTAGGGGTGTGGAGTTGGGAGGGAGGTTTCAGAGGGAGGGGGACATGTGTTTGCCTGTGGCTGATTCATGGTGATGTTTGGCAGAAACTATCACAATATTGTAAAGTAATTATCTTCTGGTGAAAAATAAAAGTTAAAAAAAAAAAAAAGAATCTGCCTGCCAATGCTGGAGATGTGGGTTCTATCCCTGGCCCGTGAAGATCCCACATGCTGTGGAACAACTAAGCCACTGCAATCACAACTCCTGAACCTGAGCTCTGCAACCCAGGATCGACAACTACTGAGCCCTAGCGCTGCAACTACTGAAGCCGGAGCGCCCACGGGCCTGTGCTCCACAACAAGAGAAGCCACGGCAATGAGAAGCCTGCGCCCCGCAACTAGAGAAAAGCCCGTGCAACAGTGAAGAGCCAGCACAGACAGTAAGTAAAACAACAAAAAGTATACACGTCCACAGATACGGAATGACTGGGGCAGCAGCGTAAGTCAAGACTCCAATCTCCTCGGGTGAACTAAGGTGGAATTTCGCTTCTAAATACAGGAGAAGTGTTCAGTATGAGGACGTGGTTCATCCTATGGCTCTGCAGCTGTGCTTGGAATCCTCCCAGGATATGAGTTTCTGCTCTGGTTGACATACTTCACTTGCCCATCAGAAAGTGACCAGAAAGTGTTGGGGAGCTTCAGAATACGTCATTTTGGAAATGGCTCAGGGAAGACATAGGGGGTGCATGGTGGTTATTCACAAGTACTTGAAGTTCTGTTGTGTGAAAAGGTTTGAGACTTGTTTCCATGCCTACAGAGAGTAACAGGAGGCTTGGCGAGTCTGCACCAGACACATTTTGGCTCAGGATGAGAAAGAACTGTCAGAGGAAAGTAAATATCCTTGGACAACTATAGGTTTACTGGCAGAGTTCAGGCAGGAGCTGGGTGTCTGAAAATAGCTGTCACAGTGATTTGTTGTTTCTTGAAGATTCCAAGGGTAGAGCTTGGCTTGGAACCCAGGATTCCACTAATACTACATTTTATTAGGTATTATAAAATCTGCCCTTTGAAAAGTGACACTTCTCTATGATGTCAGCCCAGGTCTCTGTGATTCTGGCTCCCAGTCAGTGTGGGTGGTTGTGATTCTCTTACCTACGCTGAGACTTGGACGTCACCTGCTCTGCCAACCCTCCCGCCGCCTTTATAGCTGAGAATGGTCACCATCAAGTGTATTTACTGCATGTTCATGCCCACAAGGTGGCAGCACTGCCCACTCGTGTTTCCAACCACTCTATTCTGTTAGACACTCGGTCGTGTGACTCTGCAATCCCCTGGACTGTAGCCTGCCAGGCTCCTCTGTCCATGGGGATTCTCCAGGCAAGAATACTGCAGTGGGTTGTCCTGCCCTCCTCCAGGGGATATTCCAGACCCAGGGATCGAAGCCGCGTCTCCTGCATTGCAGGCAGATTCTTACTGTCTGAGCCATTACAAAGGCTCCACTCTATTCTGGGATGTGGGTAAATCTGAGAGCTCTGATTAGGATTAGAAAAAGGGCACAAGTGAAGTGACTAGGTGAACCTTTTTTTTTTTTTCCCTGCTAAGTGACAGAGTTGAGATGAGTCTCAAGAAATTGCTTTGTAAAAGTGGTAGGCACTTTAGGGAAGTGACTCAAGTTTTAAGGTGCTAATTGATCTCCTGATTATCTTGATCAAATACAGATCTGATTCTTCTAGTGGGGCCTGAGAGTCTGCATTTAAAAAAATTATTTGTTTATCCATTTTTGGCTGTGCTGGGTCTTCGTTACTGCACGAGCTTTTCTCTAGTTGCTGCAAGCAGGGACTACTCTCAAGTTGCAATGCAGGGGCTTCTCACTGTGGTGGCGTCTCTCGTGATACAGCATGGGCTCTGGGCACGCAGGCTTCACTAGTTATGGCTCCCGGGTTCTAGAGCACAGGCTCAATAGTTATGGTTCATGGACTTAGTTGCTCTGCAGCATGTGGAATCTTCCCAGACCAGGAATCAAACCTGTGTCTCCTGCATTGGCAGGCAGATTCTTTACCACTGAGCCACCAGGGAAGCCCAAGATTCTGCATTTTTATTAAGATTTTGCGTGATGCCGTTCCTACTGGTTATTGGACCATGCTCTGAATCATAAAGCTTAGAAGTCATTTACCTGGACCTTTATCAAGAAGAAAGTATAATTCAAAAGGATACTTGCATCCCACTGTTCATAGCAGCACTGTTTACAATAGCCAAGACATGGAGGCAACCTAATAAGATGTGGTATATATACACAATGGAATATTATTCAGCCACAAAAAGAATGAAATAATGCCATTTGCAACATCATGGATGGGCCTAGAAATAACCATACTAAGTGAAGTAAGTCAGACAAAGACAAATAGCCTATGATATCACTTACATGTAAATCTAAAAGAATGATGCAGATGAACTTATTTACAAAACAGAAATAGACTCAGACAAAACAAACTTATGTTACCAAAGGGAAATGGGGAAGGGATAAATTAGGAGTTTAGGATTAAAGTATACTTGTAATAGATAAGCAGCAAAGACCTACTGTATAGCACAGGAAATTATACTCATTATCTTGTAATAACTTATGATTGAAAAAAAAATCTAAAAAAGAGCAGATTCAAATATATATTTGAATCACTTTGCTGTATCCCTGAAACTAACACAACATTGTAAATCAACGATATTTCAATAAATTTTTTAAATAAATTTTTAAAAGGACCACTTGTAAATTGTGAAAGAACAGAGAATGTGAAAAAAGAACAGTGGAAGAACTACATGAAAGATTATCAACTGGAAGAGTGACTTAATTGCCTCTTAGCCACTCTATCTGAAAAACAAGCTACAGTTTATTTCCCTTAAAATTTAGAGATTAATGGTGTTTAAAGATATTTACTATAATGAGGACTCTGTGCTGGCCTTGCTGTGTGCTGTGTTCAGCTGCTTCAGTCGTGTCCAACACTTGGTGACCCCATGGACTGTAGCCCCCCAGGCTCCTCTGCCATGGGATTTCCCAGGCAAGAATGCTGAAGTGGCTTGCCATGTCCTCCTCCAGGGGATCTTCCTGACCCAGGGATCGAATCCGAGTCTCCTGTGTCTGCTGTGTTGCAGGCAGATTCTTTACCTGCTGAGCCATTGGTGTAATTTGCCATATATTGAAGGAGATGTTGAGACAGAAGCCAAAGTATCAATAATATTGTAATATTGTAATATCAATCAATATTGTAATTGGACTTTGCTAGTGGCACCATGGATAGGAATCCACCTGCCAATCCAAAAGATATCAGTTTAATCCCTGGTCTGGGAAGATTCCACATGCTTTGGGTCAAGTCACCACAGTGAGAATCCCACACATCATAGCCCCGGCTCACCATAACCAGGAAAAGCCTCCGCAAAGCAACGAAGACTCACTGCCGCCAAAAATAAATAAATAAAATAAAAAGCAATATATTGCAATCAATTGTATAATGTATTCACCTTGTTTAAATTATCTGTATTATCTATAGATGGCTTATAAAGTGTTTAGTCTAAGTAATTAAAACTTAAAATTACTCCCCCCTTCCCCCGCCCAAAAAGTCATTTAGATTAATTCTCCCTTCCCCCGATTTATGGATGAAGAAAGACTGACATCCAGAGCGAGAGAAGGTTTCTTGCCTGGCATAGCCATGACTTCGGCACTTGGCTTTGTACATCTTAACCCAAGCTTCTCACTCTCTTAGTCCACTTTTTACTCCGCTGTATGTTGTGGCCCTCTTTACTGTTGTGATGGCATCTCTGTAGCCTAAAACTCCCATTTTCACCACCATCCCCTTTGGTCTTTGCTCAGGGCATCACTTTGGTTATCCCGTGTCTATGGGAATAATCAATAGCCTATCTATAATAAGAGTAGAAAAGAGGTGTTTTTTTGTTTGTTTGTTTGTTTGTTTGTTTGAGCCAAAGTGAGGATTGCAGCCTAGGAGACTAGCTATAGTCCATGGGGTCGCACAGAGTCAGACATGACTGAGCAATTGAACACACACAACTTCCAGGAAGGCAGGCGTTTAATTGCTTTTGTTGTTGTTGTTGTTTGTTTTTAAGTATCCTGTTTCCTCAGATCACCAGCCCAGGTTGGATGCATGAGACAAGTGCTCGGGCCTGGTGCACTGGGAAGACCCAGAGGGATCAGGTGGAGAGGGAGGTGGGAGGGGGGATCGGGATGGGGAATACATGTAAATCCATGCCTAATTCATGTCAATGCATGACGAAAACCACTACAATATTGTAAAGTAATTAGCCTCCAACTAATAAAAATAAATGAAAAAAAAAAAAGTATCCTGTTTCCTTCCTTCCTTTCTTCTCCTTTCTTTCTTTTTTATTGAGGTATAGTCCATTTGTAATGTTAAATTAGACTCAAGTATACAACTCAGTGATTCGATATATTTATAGATTATACTCTACTTATTATAAGGAGCTTACTAGGTGGCTTGGTGGTAAAGAATCCACCTGCCAATGCAGGAGATGTGGATTCTATCCCTGGGTCAGGAAGATACCCTGGAGGAGGAAATGGCAACCTACTGGGCTACAGTCCATGAGGTCACAAAGAGTTGGACACAGCTTAGTGACTGAGTTTGCATGCAACCATGTACAAGGATTCCATTTTCTCCACCTCCTTGCCAGCATTTGTTATTTATTTTTTTTTTTTTTCCATTTATTTTTATTAGTTGGAGGCTAATTACTTTACATCATTGCAGTGGTTTTTGTCATACATTGAAATGAATTAGCCATGGATTTACATGTATTTACATGTATTATTTATAGTACTTTTGATGGTGGCCATTCTGACCAGTATGAGGTGATATCTCACTTTGATTTTGATTTCCATATTTCTGATTAAAGATAAGATGTTGAGCATTTTTTTATAAGCCCCTTTGGCCATCTGTGTGTCTTCTTTGGAAAAAATGTCCGTTTTTCAGTTGGGTTTTTTTTTATACTGAGTCCTCTGAGCTATTTATATATGTTGGATATTACTCCCTTACCCGTCATGTCGGGCTTCCTTGGTCGCTCAGTGGTAAAGAATCTGCCTGCAGTGCAGGATTCACAGGAGACAAGGTTTAATCCCTGGGTCAGGAAGATCCCCTGGAGGAGGCCAGGGCAACCCACCCCAGTATTCTTGCCTGGAGAATCCCTTGGACAGAGGACCCTGCTGGGCTCAGTCCATAGGATTGCAATGAGTTGGATACAGCTGAGGGAGAGCATGCCTTCAACACAGCAGCAGGCCTCTAGTGCTGGTCTAACGAGGCCGGGAGGGGCGGGCTGAG